AGAGCTCTGCTAAATATGTAGATATGCTTCAAGCCATGGCCAACTAGATGTTCCAAAAGAAGCCCACCAAGATCTTCTGTTCCCCAGGAAACCTTTGATACTACATTACATGAAATCCATACCTCAGTGGTTTCAGTCCTTTCCCTGGCTACTTCTTCAATTTCCACAGGTTGGGTAGTCGGTGGAATGACTTTTCCCGTATCATCAGTGTCCTCGTAGTAGGGGTATTCATAATAGTAGGTTTCTCCTTCAGCTTCCAGGTTGCCATCTCCATCTGTGTACTGAAAAACAAACATGGCAACTGAGACTTTGAGGGCTCCATCTGTGATTTCTCCAAGTTGGAGAAAGGGTGGCTCTTAAGACTGATCATATATTTTCAGATCCATCTGCCTGGATCTACTGATATGGGTCATAGATTCTGAGGAAAGCCCACTCTCAGCCTTACTGAATCACAGGGGACTTTGGACATTTTTTGGAGCCCATCAACTTATTGTGGTTTAGTCTGGGCCTGAGCTTTCTGAACCTGAGTTTCCTCAGGACGAGAAGGATGATGGGTTACAGATTTCCGAACATGTTCCGGTCAGTGAGTCAAGTGAGATAGACAGTGTTGATTCTGAAGAAGAGACGGCATTTCTGTTCCCTAGAGAAAAGAATGTGTTGGGTTGTTGTAGGTTTTTTCGGGCTGTATGGCCATGGTCTAGAGGCATTCTCTCTTGACGTTTCGCCGGCATCTATGGCAAGCATCCTCAGAGGTAGTGAGGTCTGTTGGAACTAGGAAAAAGGGTTTATATACCTGTGGAATGACCAGGGTGAGACAAAGGACTCTTGTCTGCTGGAGCTAGGTGTGAATGTTTCAATTGACCACCTTGATTAGCATACAATGGGCTGACTGTGCCTGGAGCAAACTTTTGTTGAGAGGTAATTAGATGTCCCTGCCTGCTTCCTCTCTGCTGTTGTGCTGTTGCAATTTTAGACTTTTTTAATACTGGTAGCCAGATTTTGTTCATGGTTTCCTCCTTTCTGTTGAAATTATCCACATGCTTGTGGATTTCAATGGCTTCTCTGTGTATTTTGACATGGTGGTTGAGGTATTAAAAAACTCTAAAATTGCAACAACACAACAGAGAGGAAGCAGGCAGGGACATCTAATTACCTCTCAACAAAAGTTTGCTCCAGGCACAGTCAGCCCATTGTATGCTAATCAAGGTGGTCAGTTGAAACATTCACACCTAGCTCCAGCAGACAAGAGTCCTTTGTCTCACCCTGGTCATTCCACAGATATATAAACCCTTTTTCTAGTTCCAACAGACCTCACTACCTCTGAGGATGCTTGCCATAGATGCAGGCGAAACGTCAGGAGAGAATGCCTCTAGACCATGGCCATACAGCCCGAAAAAACCTACAACAACCCAGTGATTCCGGCCATGAAAGCCTTCAACAATACGAAGAATGTGTTTTCAGATAAAGATAGTGAAACTTTGGAAGCTGCAGGTGGAGGCTCCTTCTGGGAGCGCCGGGCTTCTCGGTTCCCAGGGTGATGAGGTCCGGCTGGGCGAAGATAATGACCTAACCGGCCTTGAAGATAGTAGTGGAGATTTGATTAGAGAGGACCGGTTGCAATTAAGAGTTCGAAGAAGCGCACACCTTGCCACCAAACGTGAAGCTAGAGGTCAATGTAATGCTTTTATGTTGGGGAAACTTATTTAATGATTTGGTCGAAGGGCATTCTCTGTCAGTGCAATGTTGCTCTTACCCTGTTAACTTCTGTGGAATTACCTTGGCTTTTGCGGAAAGCTTCTGGCTCTTTGGGACATTGATTTTTATCCCATTTTTTAGAGACTTTGTCTTGCTGCCATGGACTTTTGCTTAACCAATGCTAAAGGACTATGCTTCATGTTATTTGCCTTTGGAACCTGAGAACTTTATTTATTTTATTTATTTGGTTTACTTTTACCCCGCCCTTCTCACCCCGAAGGGGGCTCAGGGTGGCTTACATATCCAAGGCACAATTCGATGCCCGTAACATACAACCATAATAAAACACAATAACACAAAATAGCAACAACAACAATACATTATATCTATACCCAATAAAACCAATACAAATTTCATACAAATCGATACAAACCAATTACTCCTTATTGCCGGTCAATATTCGCTATCTCATAGTTCAGAGTTTCATTCATTATCAGTCCAGCCAGTCCTATTTGTCTGGTTGTCCTTACTTAGTTGGCAGATTGCCCGAAGGCCTGGTCCCACAACCACGTCTTTACCTTCCTCCTGAAGGACAGAAGTGATGTCGATGCCCTGATATCCGCCAGGAGTGATTTCCACAGGTGAGGAGCCACCACTGAGAAGGCCCTGCTCCTTGTCCCCACCAGCCTCACTTGGGAAAGTGGTGGGGTCGAGAGCAGGGCCCCCTCAGATGATCTTAAATTCCATGGTGGGACGTAGAGGGAGATACGTTCAGACAGATACACTGGACCGGAACTGTACAGGGTTTTGTAGGTCAAAACCAGCACCTTGAATTGGGCTCGGAACTGAACCTGCAGCCAGTGGAGCTGACACAGCAGGGGGGTGGTGTGCTCCCTGTATGACGCTCCGGTGAGCAGCCTGGCTGCCGCTCGCTGGACCAGTTGAAGTTTCCAAACTGTCTTCAAGGGCAACCCCACGTAGAGTGCGTTGCAGTAGTCTATTCGAGATGTGACAAGAGCGTGGACCACTGTGGCCAGATCAGACTTCCCAAGGTACGGGCGCAGCTGGTGGACAAGTTTTAACTTTGCCTTTCCATTTAAGACTCTGTTTTGCTCATTGAACTTTACTTCTTTGTTTCCTTGTTTTGATTTTGCTTTCTTCCAATAAACTACAAAACCTACAGCCTTGGTGTGTGGTGGTGTCTTGGGCAAGGTGAATCTACACAACCCCTATCCAGGGAAGAACTAGAATTGCGACAAAAACGTATTTACCTCCAATAATGGGCAGATATGGAAGCTTGACTATATAAAACTGTCAAGAAACGAGGAGCTGCTAATTCATCAATATGCAAGTGAGTTCATTATATTACCAACACTGAAAGTAGCGAGAGACGAGGAGGAACTGATTTTATGGCATGAGACCAATTAAATGTTGTTGATCATAAAGTTTAAACTCATCACATTCCTCAAACAAGGTCCCAAAGTGCAAAGGAGAGTAAATATCTCCTCGCGCTGTTCTCTACTTACGTATTCATCTGGACTGGGATCTTGGGATTGCGGCGAATCCGGAACAGCCGTATCACAATCGGGGCTGTAGTGCTCGCAATAATCGTAGGCCGCCCGATGATCTGACACCAGGAGGAGTTGTTGGATGTCACCCTGAAGGAAAAGACAAAAGCACAGGTTGCACTCAGTGATGGCACTCAACACAACGGGGTATGGAGATGGCTACCTTTCCCGTATTTCAACGCAATTTGGCTTGTGTTTGAACTAGGATGTATAGTGTCTAGATCCAGGGAAGTCATGCTACCTATGCTCTATTCTGCCTTGGTCAGACCACCCCTGGAATCCCACTGTGTCCAGTTCTGATCACTGCGATTGAAGGGAGATGTTGACAGTAAGCTGGAGTGTACCTAGAGGTGGGTGACTCAAAGGATCAAGGCTCTGGAGAACAAGCCTTATGAGGAGTGGTGTGCTGGTACATTTGTACCAGGAGCTCCAACTTCATTTTCTTTCTATTGAATGTTTGCATGCATTCCAAGGTTTCAGGCAGTCTGCAAAAAAGGTGACTTCCCTTGGTTTGCAGTCATAGGGCTAGCCACCTGTCTATCATTGTTAAGTTTGGTTCCGCCCCTTTCCCCAGGGACCTGGGAGGAGAGGGAGCCATTTTTAGTTCAGTCTTACAGAAGGAAACTAAGCTAGAGGACGTGGACCAGCTCCACCTGCAGAAAAGCTTCATTTCCTACCGAAATTCCAGGGGAAACAGAGACAAAAATTCCAAGGGAAAAGGCCCCAAAGCTCTGACTAGGAACTTACAGCCTTTCAGCTTTACAGCATCTGAGGGAAACAACCCTAAAGTTTCTGAAGAAATTCTGGGGGAAAACAGTTTTACAGACCCAAAGAACTCCAGCTGGAGAATTTACAAGCCTTGACTGGTAGGTCTACTTGGTGTCCAAGAAGCAGTTTGGATCCGGTAGTAGAACCCACATCAGCAAAGTATAGATAGTAGATTGCCCGGGAGAGGTTAATAAGGGTTTTTCTCTTAAAGAGAAGGAACAGTTAACGAAGTCAGTTGCCTGTCCCTTGTGGACAAGATTAAGAAAGCCACCAGTTGATTCAAAGCCTTGAAACATTTGTTTGACTCATTGAAGATCTGAGAAGTATTTGTTTAATTTGTTCAATAATAAAGGACTTTGTTAAATCTTTCAAGCCTCTAAAGCAGCGGTTCTCAACCTGGGGGTCGCGACCCCCCAGGGGGTCGTTGGGCCATTTTCGGGGAGTCACGAAGCTGCCTTGGTTGGCCCCACCCCTGCCAACCCTTGCAGTTTGTACAAGGGAGGGCTGCCCGCCCCCCGCGCCTTTCTGAGTGTGGAAGGGCACGGGGGGGGGGGGGGGGGCGCAGCCTTTCTTTCCACCCCCTGCACACCCTTCCGAGCTCTGATGGTAGGGGAGCTATACATCCCAGTAACTCCCAAAAGCCGTGGTCTGTTTTCCCCAGACTCCACCAGTGTTCACATTGGGGCATATTGAGTATCCGTGCCAAGTTTGGTCCAGATCCATCATTGTTTGAATCTGCAATGCTCTTTGGATGCAGGTGAACTACAACTCCAAAACTCAAGGTCAGTGCTCACCAAACCCTTCCAGTATTTTTCATTGGTCATGGGAGTTCTGTGTGCCAAGTTTGGTCCAATTCCATCATTGGTGGAGTTCAAAATGCTCTTTGATTGTAGGTGAACTATAAATCCCAGCAACTACAACTCCCAAATGACATAATTCTCCCTCCAACCCCACCAGTGTTCAAATTTGGGCATAATAATATAATAATATTGGGTAAGGTAAGGTAAAAGTTTTCCCCTGACATTAAGTCCAGTCGTGTCCAACTCTGGGAGTTGGTGCTCAATTTCTAGGCCAAAGAGCCAGTGTTGTCCATAGACACCTCCAAGGTCATGTGGCTGACAGGACAGCATGGAGCGCTGTTGTTGGGTATTTGTTAGGCCTGTTTGATCAAGAAAAAATTTGTTTCTAAAATCGATTTGTAATTGGGGTGTTTTTTTGTTTCGATATTTAAAATAATTACAAAACTTTCCAAAAAAAAGTTTTGGCATTTAAGAAATTTTGTAAATATTAACGAATTTTTAGAATATTTTTGGTATTTCTTAAGAATAATATTAAAATAATATTAAAAAATATTTTAAAATGGAAAATTAACCAAAAAATGGCCCAAATGTGGACCAAACACAGGCACGATACAGCAAATGAGAGCACACACCAACAGAAGAGTCTTTTCTTTTTTAGAATATTTTTTAAAAATAATATTAAAATAATATTAAAAAATAATATTAAAATAATATTAAAAAATATTTTAAAATGGAAAATTAACCAAAAAATGGCCCAAATGTGGACCAAACACAGGCACGATACAGCAAATGAGAGCACACACCAACAGAAGAGTCTTTTCTTTTTTAGAATATTTTTAAGAATAATATTAAAAAATAATATTAAAAAATAATATTAAAAATAATATTAAAAAATATTTTAAAATGGAAAATTAACCAAAAAAAATGACCAAACACAGGCAGGATACAGCAAATGAGAGCACACACCAACAGAAGAGTCTTTTCTTTTTTAGAATATTTTTTAAGAATAATATTAAAAATAATATAAAAAAATAATATTAAAAAATAATATTAAAAAATAATATTAAAAAATAATATTAAAAAATAATATTAAAAATATTTTAAAATGGAAAATTAACCAAAAAATGGCCCAAATGTGGACCAAACACAGGCAAGAGACAGCAAATGAAGCAAGCAGCACTCACAGCAGCAAGGAATGAATCCAATCCCAGTTCGTTGCTAGCAGGCAGCCATTGCCAAGCCAACCCAATGCAAACTCCCTCGCCCTCGCCTCTGCACCAAGCTACGGGCCGCGCGGAGCCGCTTTGAAAGGGCTCGCCGGCCAATCAAAAAGAGACAGCCACGGACCCATGGTGCACTGCTTGGGAGCGCCGGATTGGCTCCCATGCACCAGCACTCCAGCAGCCTCCACCCCATTAACGAAACGAGCGGAGGCTCGTAAATACTATGGGGGCTGCTGGTTCGATATTTATAAACCCTTCAGGGTTTGGAGATTTGTTTCAATATCGCTTCGGAAATGGTAAAATTAACGAATTATTAACGAATTAACGAATTAACGAACCAAATCGCACAGGCCTAGTATTTGTGCCAAATTTGGCCCAGTGAATGAAAATACATCCTGCATTTCAGATATTTACATTATGATTCATAACAATAACACAATTACAATCAGGAAGTAGCAACAATAATAATTTTATGGTTGGGGGTCACCACACCGTGAGGTGCTGTATTAAGGGGTCACGGCATTAGGAAGGTTGAGAACCACTGCTCTAAAGACTATTGTACAGGAAAATCCTTGAGGGCCTCTCTATCGAGGTGCCCTGGCTTTCCGCTGGGCACAAGGTGCACGTTTCTTTGTCTCCTCTGGCTTTGCTCTGTTTCTCTGTGCTGCTGGCATGTGTTGTTGTTGTTGTTGGTGCTGTTGCTGGTAGTTGATAGATGTTGGAGTGAGGAGGATGAGCTTGAAGTTGCTTGCTTGTTGTTGCTTGCTGTTGTGTGCTTTATGTGTTCTTGCTTTTTGCTTGGCTTTTTTTTTTGTGCTTGTGCTGTTGCGGGTGGCGTGGTTGCTGTATTGTGTTGCTTTTTGTTTTGCTTGCTTGTTGGCCTCTTGCTTCTGTTGCTGTGTTAAAAACGCTATTGCTGTTGTCTGTGCTGTTTGTTGCTTTGTTGTTGCGGATTGTTTTAATTTGTGCTTGTTGTGTTGCTTTGCTTTTGCTTTGTTTGATTGTTGTTATTTGTTTAGTCTGTGCTGTGTTTTTTTTGTTGCTTTTTTATGGTTGGGGGTCACCACACCGTGAGGTGGTGTATTAATAAAGGACTTTGTTGAGAACAACTGCTCTAAAGACTATTGTACAGGAAAATCCTTGAGGGCCTCTCTATCGAGGTGCCCTGGCTTTCCGCTGGGCACAAAGTGCATGTCCTATTCAAAAGACAATTACTACAGGCCCAGCGCGTGACAGAACAAGTGGCGTCAAGAGCTGGGCATGTTTAGCCTGAAGAAGAGAAGGCTGAGAGGAGACAGGATGAAGGCCATAGATGAAGATGTGAGGGCAGTCCTACGGAGGAGGGAGCAAGCTTGTATTCTGCTGCCCTGGAGACTAGGATACAGAAAAATGGCTTCTAATGACAGAAAAGAAAGATGATTCCACCTGGTGGTCTTGGCATCTTCCAGCTCGCTGACATTTGTCCACCTGTCTTCCCAAGAGATTTGCAGGATTTTTCAGAGGCATCTGTAGGGATACCAAGATCCGTAGGGATACCAAGGTGCTTGTCTATAAAACTATTGTCCTCCCAACCCTGCTCTATGCCTGCAAAACGTGGACTGTCTACAGACGTCACATGCAACTCCTGGAACGATTCCATCAGCGCTGCCTCCGGAAAATCCTGCAAATCTCTTGGGAAGACAAGCGGACAAACGTCAGCGTGCTGGAAGAAGCAAAGACCACCAGCATTGAAGCGATGGTCCTCTGCCATCAACTCCGCTGGGCCGGCCACATTGTACGGATGCCTGACCACCGTCTCCCAAAGCAGTTGCTCTACTCTGAAATTCAAGAACGGAAAACGGAACGTTGGTGGACAGGAAAAGAGATTTAAAGATGGGCTCAAAGCCAACCTTAAAAACTCTGGCATAGACACTGAGAACTGGGAAGCCCTGGCCCTTGAGCGCTCCAGCTGGAGGTCAGCTGTGACCAGCAGTGCTGCAGAATTCGAGGAGGTACGAATGGAGAGCAAAAGGGAGAAACATGCCGGGAGGAAGGCACGTCAAGCCAACCCCGACCAGGTCCGCCTTCCATCTGGAAACCAATGCCCTCACTGTGGGAGAAGATGCGGGTCAAGAATAGGGCTCCACAGCCACTTACGGACCCACAAAAATAGTCATCAAGGAAGACCATCTTACTTGTCCAACAAGGGATCGCCTAAGTAAGTTTTCAGAGGCAACACTGATGGAATCGCTCCAGGAGCGTATAGCAAGGTTGGGAGGACAATAGCTTTATAAACAAGCAACTTGGTGTCTCTATGGAT